GGGGAGTTGAGTGGGTGGTGCAGAAAAATAAAAAATTAAAAATTGCAAAAAAAAAATTAAAAAGAACTTTTTTTGTGCGTGGGGCGTGGGAGGGGGGGGGGGTAAGGTGGGTAGTGACGGAAAAAATCTGAAATTTGAAAAAAAAAAAAAACTTGGAGAGAGGGGTGTGATGGGTGGGCGTGGGGGTGGGGGTGGGTGGGTGGGTATGGGGTGTGGAGTGGGGTGGTGAGGTCGGAAATAGGGTGGGGAAGGTTGAGAAGGAGTTTTGAAAAATATTTTTCTCCAATTGGAGGAAAATGAGTTCATAAGGAAAATATTTTCCAAAATCATTAAACCAATCAAACATGGGAAAATTGAAAAACATTTCCGAAAAATATTTTCTTTCGTACTAAACACACCCTAAGTTAGCAAACTTAAAATGTGCAAAACTTCAAACAAACGCCACCAATGGTCCGTTTGTATTATTTTAAAATACAACAACAACAATCCAGTATAATCCCATAAGTAGGGTCTGGGGAGGGTAGTGTGTACGCATACCTTACCCCTACCCCTAAGGAATAGAGAGGTTGTTTCCGAAAGACCTTCGACTCAAGATTATTTTAAAATATAGAAGTAATAAGTCGTGTGTCGCAAAATAGAGGACTCATACCACCGATTTGCACATTTTAATCATAAAAATATGATTGCCTTAAGTCCTTTTTTTTTCTTCTCTTAAGAGAGCAGGGAGGAATAATATATTTGGATTTACAGATCAATACTGTACTGTTTTTTCGGGAGAAATTAAAAAATAGCCAGATTTACAAGTGGTCGTTCAAAAATAGCTCAATTTCAAAAGTAATCAAAATCTAGCCATTTTTCATGTAAAGATAAATCTGAGCGAAAACACTGTTCAAAACCCGAAAAATACGCCAGTATATTATGCTGGAGTTCTAATGTACTTATGCTGGAACTCCAGTATAATATGCTGGAGTTCAAGTATACTTATGCTGGTACTGGAGTTCCAGTATACTTATGCTGGAACTCCAGCATAATATACTGGAGTTCAAGCAAAGTATACCGGTCCAGTATAATATACTGGAAGTTCATACACAAGTGCTCGAATCTCCAGTATATTATGCTGGAACTTTTCGTGTGTTGGAGTTCCAGCATAATATGCTGGAAGTTCATACACAGGTGCACCGAACTCCAGTATATTATGCTGGACCGGTCTCTGTTGCAGCAAAATAATGGCTATTTTTCATTGACTTGGTAAACGCTGGCTATTTTTGAATGACCAGTCCGAAAACTGGCTAGGCCGTGCTATTTTTACGTTTTTTTCAGGAAAGGAGATTAAAGGGTCTGAACTGGATCGGCCTTGATCTACTGTGTTTACTACCCAGTCGTAATACATGCACACTATGTTGGGCCAAACTGTTTCGTTACAGTTGCCCAAATAGCCGCCACATAATCTCTTGAACTAAAAATAGCCGGCGGTTATATAATATATATGTACAATTTATGTATAATATATGTATAACTAATATATAATCTATGTTTGCCGGCTAGAAAAAGTAAACATTAAATCTGGCTGGCTGTTTGTGTAACACTCCCGATTAGGAAGAGCTAGTACATGAAGTACATATTCAGATCTGTAAGTTCTACAGAAGATTAACCAGCCCAAAAACTATATCCCAACTATTAATTTGTTCTACTTGGAAGTTGGAACTACAAAGGGACGATCTTCACAAGGGTCCAACTTTAATTCTTTAATCGACACTGTGGTAAGAGCGCAATATGTAATGTATGAGTTCGGTGCACGTAAAAGTTTCTAGTCTTCATCATACAAAAAACGTAGTATTTAAGTTGAATCAGGAAGAGAGCCAGTTCATCCTCCATATAGTTCGAAATCATGCACCACTGACCCTCGGGATTTCTCGATCACAAAAAAAAAGGTTCAATCTGACATATGGTCAGTTATTAGTCTAATGGAAATGAACTTATCGGAAGGACAATAGTAATAATGGCACAAATTATACCAAGACAATGACTTGGTAAGGCAGTTAAACATCAAACACTTACTAAGAATGAACAAAACATGTAACCAACTCACCCAACTGGGCACAATCATAATTAGCTTTAGCCTATTAACCAATTTGCTTATCTAGTACTGCATTTACATTTGAATTAGCTGTCACTCGTTTTTTCAAGCTAAGAATTGGCCCGATCTTTTGTCTGCCACCGTTGAATTCTCGGCTTTCCTTTGGATATTGAACTGATGAAAATAACGTTAAAAAGACATAAAGGCAAAGTGAATAAGGGAAAGAATAATAAGTTTTTAAAGTTGGAATAAAACCTTGGGCACTCTGGAATTTGTACCGTAGAATATCTGAAATTCTCAAAAAAAATTGAGTCAGTTCTTTGATATTCCATCTCCATCTTACAGAACTTAAGCTTAAGACTGAAATCAGAGTTTCTTGCAGGACAACGGATGATTCCTCCTCAAGCTTGAATGATTTACTTTTTTTGTGTGTGTGTGTGTGGGGGGGGGGGGTGTCCAATCAATTTGACACCGATCAATTTGCACGCGCCTTGATTAATCCATCAAATACCTGTTACCTCCCACCAGCATAGGTACCAAGTACCACCGCCCCAAGACTTTACAAATGCGAAGAAATGGACTGGAACTTAATTACTTAACCTTTCAAGATTAACATCCTCTTTCCATGACAAAAGGCAACTATGGTAGAAAGAAGCAAGCTCAATTCACCTAAAAAAGAACACTGTTTTTTTTTAAACAAGGGTATGAAAACTAGGGCAAGTCCATTTTGGAAGGCTGTCCATCAAGGAAGACCAAAGAAAAAGCATGTAAATAGCAGAAAAACTCAAGTCCAAGTTCCCTAACCTTACAGTAGCTCCTTCAACCAACTAAATGAAGCAGAACAGTCATTCTGTGGACTTAAAAGATTTAATGAAGAAGAATTACAAACAACCAAACTTTCAACAGGGAAAAACACATGTAAATGAAAGCATAAACAGTTCCTGACCCCGGCAATCACAGCCATAGTGAAAACATGACCAAGAATCACGCGAAAAAATTTGAAAGAACATTCAAGTTGTTTCCATGTGACCAAAAGGTCACGAGTTCGAGCCGTGGAAACAGCCTCTTGCAGATATGTAGGGTAAGACTGCGTACAATAGACCCTTGTGGTCCGACCCTTCCCTGGACCCCGCGCATAGCGGGAGCTTAGTGCACCGGGTTGCCCCTTCTTTTTATCCAAGGCATTATGCATGCAATGTAGTGCTAAAAATGACTGGTTGATAAGTTACTGACCAGAGTTAAAACCAAAAAAAAAAAAAGGCAATTTTTTACATAGCTGCATCAGAAATTATATCGCAGTCAGATTCATTAAAGGAAGACCCTTAATGGAGAACCCCTTTTAATCATCGATATAACACCTTCAGAGTTACTGATGATGACTCCAAACGTTTGTCATGGACAAGAGTACCTGGAATGGCATTCCATAAGCTGACAACATCCTGTCAATGTGAAAAAATATGTGATGAAAATGAAAATCTATTTTCATTCATCAACGAGACTCCCCGAGTCAAAGCTAGACCCTCAAACAGAGATTAGAGGTTAGCTGTGTGGACATATGTAATCTGGATGGTGGATGAACCAGTATCACATAACGAGTATAGTTGGTTTCCATTCTTGTTTCTGAGGGGCTACAGGCCATCCCTGATTATTTTCTCTGTATTTATTTCAATGTTAAAATAACTCATGGCCCTTCTAAGATTTTTTTATCAAAGACTTGAAAAAGGAAACTTCTGAAAATTCCGAATTGTCTCTCCATCTTATTTCTGGCTCTGCTGCCACTCGCCAGACGAAAATATAGATGGCATCTTTTATGTGCAATACAAAATATGCAAGCAATTGATTGTCAAAATATACACGGTGGTATGTCCAAAACATTACAATGCCCATAAAAAAGCAAAAAGAAACTGGACGGAAGAGGCCTTATCTATAAAAAGAAGGAAAGAAAGCATACATGACACTACCTCAGACTACAAGTCTCATCACGGTAGCCGCACTTGTTGAAATGAAAATACCAAGTCCAAGACTATGACTGCATCATCTTATTTTGTTCAACGCATGTGGGTGCCTTGAACGCCTGACACTTCCACATTGATGCCCTCTCAAGCGGAAACATGGGATTACTACTGGTAGTAGTACCTTTGCTGATGTTTTCATCGAGTGACAATGGACTCTTAGATTTCAAATCCTCTTTAGGGTTTGCTTGATCCCTGAAGCTGCAAATGCTGAGGGGTAACTTTTTCTGCTTAAGCCTTCCCTTCTTTTTCCCAATGCTGCAAACATCATCTGGAGAATCCCCAAATTTCTCCTTTGAGATAACTGATTCTCTTTCCTTGTTTTCCGTATTTACATAGTCAGCTTTACTAGATTGTGATGCTTCCCCATTTTCCATCTTTGTGTGGTCAGCTTTATTGAATTTTGTTGTGTTTAAATCTACTCTAACTAGGCCTTTCTCCGAGATAGGCCCATCTGAATGTTTTTCTCTAGCAAAACCATTCCCATTGCTTGTGGTAGGACGGTTGCCTTCCCAGGATGTACTTCCGTTCTGAACCTTAGTTTTTTCAGAAGGCGAAGACCTTTTAAGCCTCTTGTGTTTGTGATTTCTCGAGTCATCAGTTGAGTTCTTCAAAATTCTTGGAGAGCTATTTATGGCCCTATGCAACGTCCGGGCTAACTCTTCATCTGTTCTACAATTATTAGTCCTTTTATTCTTATTGTACAGCATCTGAACAGGAACATGCTTTTTCATCTTATTCCTCTTCAAATGTTTGTCCCTACTGGCTGTCTCATCAGAAAGAGTAGCAACCAATTCTAGAGCGCTCTTAGCAGCAGCCACGGCCTTTGCTGCTTTAGCAGCCTTCTCTTCCGCAACGGCTCTTGCTGCTTTCGCAGCCTTCGCAGCTTCTAAAGCTGCCAATCTCGAGGCCTCAGCAATTTCCTCATTCGATCGATTAGAGTCACCAAAATGAGATTTCAATAGATTATTAAGACGGATATCAAACTCGCACCCGGGACTACTAACAGTTGGTGGGGATGGGGTAGATGAGTAAGCATCAGAATTCTGTTTCTTCAATCCGGCTAGAAGCCGCTTTCGTGGAGGCAAAAGCACATCGGCATCCAAGTGATTGATATCACATACATTAACTTCCATCTTCTTTTTTACATCTACACACTTTCAATCTACAAAAAAACAACATTAAATTAGATCACACCTTTAGCACAAAGCTCAAAACACTTGAATCTGCATACCAGCTTGCTATTTCCAAAACCCACATTAGAATTTCACATGTTATTACCCTAGAGCTAGCTTCCACCTTCATTTTTATATCTACACACTTTCAAACAACAGAACAACACTAAAGATCACACCTTTAGCATAAAGCTCAAAACAAAACTAGCTCAATCCACATACCAGCTTGTTTTTTACAGAACCTACGTTAGATTTCACATGTTATTTACCAAGACTCAATCACTTCATGGAATTCAATCCAAATCAAACAAAAGATCCAAAACTCAATCCAAACCCATAAACAACAATCAGAAAAATAACCCAAGAGAAGAAAGAAAGACGGAAAATGAATCAAATTCAGGTCAATTCAAGATTTTCCAACCTTCCAAGATTAAAAACACATAATTTGAGCATAATTCACCATAATCCAGGATTATTAGCAGCTGATTTAAGAGAATTATGCAAATCTAAATTGAACTTAGCTCCTTAGATGTTTTTTTTGGGTCATAATTCTGATATGCAAAGCAGATGAAGTGCCCAGTTTTTATTATAATAAGAATCAGAGAAGGCTAAATACCTGATCTTGTCATTTTACAGGACATGAGAGAAGAAGTTGAAATTAGGGTTTTTAGGAAAAGAGAGATGAAGAAAGAAGGTCTGTTGAAAAACCAGTTGAAATGACAGAAAATTTAGAGATCATTTTATTATTTTATTTTTCACGAAGAAATTCGATTGGCTCTGATTCTAGAGAGCTAAAATGTAAATCTTATAAATATGTTAAATTATTAAACATTTGCTTATAAACCTCTCCTTCCAGCTTAACCACAGATTTGCCATGGTAATTCTTATGCATTTACAGAGAGCATTTGGCTTGTAGATAAGTAGGGGCGTTTACGGTTCGGTTTGGATCGGTTTTTTCCATAAAAGAAATCAAATCAAGTAAGTCGGTTTTTCAAATATTAGAACCAAACCAAACCAATTAAGTCGGTTTTTCCTCGATTTGGTTTATGTCGGGTTTTGTCGGTTTTTCGGTTTTTTCAATTATTGGTCGGTTTTTCTTAAATATAAGACATACACTACCAGACACATATTTCGGCGAACACATTTTCAACGTAATACTATCAAATCAATTGCCCTTTGAGAAATCTATTATTTATCAAAATATATTGATGATAATTGAATCAAATAGTGATGAATAATTTAAGGACTCAATTAAAAATATATTATTTTTAACACGAAATAGATTCTTACACTTAACAAAAGAAAACTACCAATTAAATTAGAATTTAAAGGTAAAGATACTAAAAGTGTAAACTATTAACATTTACCATTAAATTTTTGAAACTTTGTATAAAAATATACATATATATAGGTGTAATAATAAATTTGAAATAGCTACTCCTATAGTCGGTTTGGTTCGGTTAATTTTCTAATTAAAATCAAAATCGAATCAAATTTGATCTATTTTTAAAATTCAAAGCCAAAATCAAACCAAACAAAAAAGTATCGGTTTTTTTGGTCGTTTGGTTAGGTTTCGGTTTGGTTCGATTTGGTTTTTCGGGTTTTTATGAACACCCCTATATATAAGATATGTAAAAAGGATTAAACTTATATTCACTGGAATGTAAATAATTTTTTATATATTATCGTATCTATTATAGCAAATACTATTTGTATCTTGTTATTGACGAATGCTTATCACAATAATTTGACTGTAATTATCTTATAGATAATTTGATTAAATAATTTTTATCTCATTTATTTAAACTCATTTAAAATTTACTATGAAACATGAATTATAATACCGTAAATAATAATTTTCTGATTGTTTAATATATGATATTGCATTTCTTATGCGATTTTTGATTCATATGTATTTGAAATTTAGATACACAATATATAATAAAATATTTGTTTAATTTTAATCTGGATAAATAAATATTGCAAATGATCCACTTGTCCACATGTTTATCCGTAAAACATTACAGTTGAATTTGTAACATGGTTTATGGACAAGCAAATCGATTTGATCCAAAAATGATGAAGAAATAGAACAAAAAATAAGATTTAACAACTGAAATTAAAGAGGATAACGAGTCTAGCTCCGAGCTCAGTCTTTCCGAGAGCAAAAATGAAAGCAATGATAAAACTATTAGATTGAGCGTAAAATAGTGAAGTACAATTTTGTGTGCATAATGTTTCTTGTCCCCACAATGGTTATTAACCGTGTTGTTTATAGCTCTATGATGATAGGCTATAATTGCATATTTTAGTCGCTTATTACACTCGAATTTACTGCACTTTAATTGAGTTTGCGCTTTAATCGCTAGTGTTTTGCACTAATTATGTGTTTTATGCCTTGTAGGTGTGATTCCGAGCTATATAGATGTTATGGAATGAATTTAAGTGATTTGAAGCTTTGAAGTCTGAGTAAAAGCTCAATGAATTAAGCCAGGATCGTGTTCGGGGGTCAAATTTGATAATTAAGTACGAACGAAGACTTGAGGAGGCATATTGCGCACTGTCTAGTAAAATAGACATAACTTTTTGCTCAGAACTCCATTTGGGCTCCACAATATATGGTTGGAAATCTAACTCAAAGGGCTACAACTTTCATGTTTTACGTTTTTCCAAATTCCAAACGGAACATGGTGAAAAACCGCGGTTCCACCGCGACCGCGGCAGAACCGCGGTAGAAGATGGTCGCGGACAACTGAAGAACCGCGGCAAAACCGCGGTAGGAGGCGGAAATTTCAGGGACTTATGTGCAAAATACGGGATTTTAAGCCCTAAACCCTATATTAAACCAAGGAAGCCGGCCAAGAAAGGGAATGGACATACTTTAGGGTTAGACAACACCCTTTGAGGCAAGAACACATTGGGAGCAAGGCGGAGAATTCTTCTACGAGTTTTTTCCTTCCTCTTCCTATTTTTCATTGTTGGTTATGACTTTTAGTATTGTAGTTTTACATACTATTATGAATAGCTAATTTGTTATCTAGAGTTTTGATAGAACCTTTTGTAGGATAAATTCTTGTTATGTTTTTATATAATTGAGCCATAGCCTTTTCTCTATTTGTTCAACTACGTTTATATTGTGGTTGATTGAAGAGCTCTCAATTAGCTGTGCCTATTTAGTATGCATAACTCGGGAGAGAGTGCCTATTTAGGTAATTGTTAAACAACACCACTCCCAAAGTATATGAGGGATCAATAACCAAGGGTTTAAAGGCGGGATTAGGGATAACGAAGCCTTGGGTGCGATCTGAAGTGAGCTGTATTAAAAGCCAGCTAGCGTAGCTCGGGAGAGTGCGTCTAGTAAATTGTCGTAATTACTCGGGAGAGATTTACGGTAATAAGAGTGCTCGTGATCGGTAGAGAATACTTAGGGGAAATTATAGAAGACATAGCGGGAAGGATTCTGAAAATTGGGGAAATCATAACTCTAGACCTCCTTAATCTTTTCTCTAACCCTCAGTATCGTTAGTTGTTAATTTACTATTTTAATTTGTTAGTTAATTAGTTAAACACAAGAATCTTAATATGTATAAGTTAGGAATTGTTCAAGCTTGTCTTTTTGGTGATAGTGAACAGTTGTAGCTAAACCTTAATTCTCTGTAGGATTCGACTCCGGACTTGTAAACCGGATTATATTTGCAGCGACCGCTTAGTCCTTTTTATAAGGCATAGTTGGGCGTGATCACTCTACCTAGAGAAACAAGATTTTGGATTAAGCTCCTCTTAAACGAGAATAAAAATGTTATTGATTGGCGTATAACTGCTAGCTTTGAATGCAAGTATTCTTTGTAACGGCTGCTCATTAAATGCTTATTCGATACCAAGCCTTTGGATCTCGATCTATTTTTGGTTCCCTTCGAGTACCTCTCGGTACTGATTATAAACCCCGCACCCGATATCAGCTATTTGTCGACTCGATTTCATGTGTCGCTTTATTATTCGACCACCTATTGGCTATTATCAACCAATTTCACATCATACACCACATATACTCCTTTGTTACATCGAAGAGTTGTGGTTAAGAAAAGGTTCATTTTTTATTTATTTATTAGCACTATTCTCTACTCTGAAGTGATGAGGCCTATCTTAAAAGTATTATTAACATTTTATATGCCCTGATTAATGTATTAATAACACATATTTTTATTCAATCGTTTATTTGGTATAAAGTAATCCACATAATTCGGTCGCGTATTATTTGTAAAAAATATATAATTAAACACTCGATTACTCAATATTGATGTAACATTGAGATTATTTTTCCTTAAACGAAACATCGACAACTTATAATAATAGAGAAGAAAATGAGAAAATTTGTAATATCTGTAATGTTCAATTGATGGTAAAATAAACTTTTCGTTTACGTCTATGAATCCGGGAAAAAAGTGATAATGTGGCGTATTTGACTATATAATTGTGATCGATTTGAAAAGCTTTAAAAATGAAATAAAATGTGTTAATACTATATTACTTATATACACATGCTTATCATACAACTAATTTAATCCTAATCAAACAAAAACATAAATGCAATGATATTGAGGTACGAACGATGATTTTATGATGAATAAATTTTTCTCTTATCATGCAATTACGAAAAATAACGTGACCGAGCAATAACATCGATGTAAAAATGATAATTCATTAACCAAATATTGAATTTGGAGGAGACTATCAACATAATTTCAATGATCCTTCAGAAAAGGGGAAGTACAAAAAATACTTTGTCTTGTTAATTTGTTAAATTACCAACATGAATACTCCGCCCAATTGAATTTTTCAGCTTCAGCCTTCAAGGCCTTCAAAAAGAGATTTTTAATTTAACTAATTTTGGTGCTATCAACAAATACAAAGGCAGAAAAAGAGATATTAGCGTAATTTGACATCCGAGCTAAAACTAACTCATATACAAGAATTTTCATGAAAGTTAGCAAAGGGAGAAAAAATGAAATGAAATAACTAAGGTTACTTGCATGTCACATAACTACATCACCAACCAATCAAAGAAAAGATCCAACGCCAGATAATAAATACATTTGGTTTTCAGCCAATGGAAACTGCACGTGTAAAGTTTAACTCATCTCTGGAGCAGTGGGCCCATTTCTCTATTTTGGACAACAATTACTAATGCCTCTTAAAATGTAAAAACGTTACAAGTAACACTCGTCAAGCAACAAAAAAAAAAAAATATATATATATATATATATATATATATTCTAATCCCACTTTGATTGTAACCCATTCAGTTATTTTTACTCTGTTTTTATATAATTTTTGGTGATGTCCCATCTTGTCTATAATTTTATTAATGTGGTGCTTATACTTTCCTGAGCCGAGTGTCTATTGGAAATTACAGCCTCTCCATCCTCACAAGGTAGGGATATGGCTGTCCAACGGGACGGGCCGTCCCGTCCCGTCCCGTCCCACTTCAAGTTAAACGGGATGGGTCAATGTTAAACGAGACACGGGATGGGACGGGACGACCATTTCGTCCCGTATATCCCGTCCCGTTTCGTCTCGTCCCGTCCCGTCCCGTCCCGCAACCCGCCTGGATTTTTTTTTAAAATCTAGCCGTTGGGCAACGACTTAAATTGCAAAAATAGCCGTTGCCAACGGCCAAAAACGGGCAAAACAGCCCCTACCCCCCCTCCAACACCCCTACCTCT